TTGTTTATTTTGATTTTTTAATTTATTCAAAAAAATTTTTTAGTCTTAGAGTCCCATTTTCCTAGCAAACCTCCCATATAGTAGTTTAATTTTTTGACATTATTATAGCAAAAATAATTATTGTAAAATTGAAGATATTGCTGCATAGAATATTCATATTCGATTAAATTCAGAAGTAATTATTGATATTAATAAATATTTTTCATAATAAATATCTTTCAAAATGTCCTAATAATGTATCTAAAATTTTTTATTTTCAAGTTAATTTACTTTAACGTAAAAGTAATATTTGATTTAAAAACATACTATAGTATTAATAAAAATTACAAGTTATCATTAGTAAATATAGGATACTGTTTTAAGCTCTAAAAGTATATTAAATGATTAAATGATTATATTAAAAACTATATATTAATAAGAAAATATAACTTTTGTTAAAAATATTATTTTTACTTCTTATTCTTCCATTGATCTCTAAAGTTCAGTTAATTACTTAAATAATTGATCTTTCAACTCTTTCATGATCTTATTAACTTTTAACTAAACTTTATCAAAGATATTCCTATATTATGCAGAAAATGCAGTTTCATCATATTCTCTTTTTGAAGTTGATCCATTAATAATATTTCCTTTTATTTTCATAATTGAATCTAATACAACCTTTTTTTTCTTATAATCTCTGATTACCATATTGTATTTTTGCTTTATAAAGAATTAATTATTAATAATGATTATAACATAAAATAATACAAAAAAATAATTTATTTTCTTTTTATACCTGTTTTATAGATTTCATAAAACTGCTAAGTAAATTAAAGAAATATTTATATTTTTCTAATAACTTAAGTATTATATATTTATCAGCTTTATTTCTATTAGCTAAAACTGGTTTAAAACTTGCTCAGCTCTATCACAAGCCTCTTAATTTTTCATAAATTGATTAAATTAATTAAATTAATATAACCTAAATTTTTTTTTTGAATTTTTGGTATTTAATTTAAAAACCTATGTTAGAGATAGCATTATCCAATACATTAATACCATAATCGCTTTAGGATTCAAACTCTTCATTTTTATTTAACCTTAAACAATATCTATGGTGTTTTCACACTTATGAATCTATTAAAATTATCTTGAACTAAATTATAAAGAGCTTCAGATTTTTAGTCCAAAGCAGTATTGGCATATTCTTGAATCTGAATCTGGAAATATGTATTCCATTTTCAGTATTCCAATGGATTGTTCACTGGAATACATTCTTGTTGCATGCTTTTAATGTTATCTTATAAAATTAATTTTTATTGGGTTGAAGCAATGCAATTTACGTTGCAATAAAGTTAAAAGCAGTTGGATATTATGCAAAGATTCCAAGTGGAATTAAAAACAAGAAGCCAATTATATTTTCTATATTTACAATAAAATGAAGAAATACATCAACTTAGAAATGAATTTCAACAAAAATAATTAATTAATACAAACATTTTTTTTATTTTAATGCATATATTTAGATTATTTATACATTTTAATTATATTTTTTTTAATTAATAAAAGCTATAAGATTTAACAATTCAACACTATTATCTTATGAAAAAGAGAAATCTGAGTAAATAATCAGAATTTTAAAGATACATCTTCAGTAGTACAGTTAAATATGTATATCTTATCTTTATATTAATAAAATTCATTGAACGGGAGCATCCATGTGGGCAGAACAAACAGAAGACATGTACTATCAAAATCGATTCCAAAACTATACGAATCAAATGAAAGCCATCAACCTGAAAAACTTGATCAGATTTTGATGCAAATAACTACAATGAACTCACATCTAGCAGTTGGGTAAAGGTATTTAGATCTGCTAGATTTCCGATTTTAATCTGTAATTCCAAATTTTCAGATAAAGAATATGTAGAGCATTTGCAAATGGTAAAGCATCTACATGTGGTCTAATCCATTTTTCATAAGTTTCTGAAGTATAATAGAAAGGAATTTATCAGACATAAGCGCTTTCATAGAATTAAGCAATTTTCTAAAATAAATATTCATTACATCAATGATACTTAATATAAACCAGTGGAGTAAATGACAAGAAATTCCACCGGTGTATACATAATACCGATGAGATAAAATTGGAATATGATACCGGAATATAAAAAATATTATGGAATACTGGAAAATTTAAAATAAACAAATACAAATAATAAATTAATATACATTGATCTAATTGTTTTTTTCAAATTATCATCTATTCGAAGTTCAGCTGTTCAGCTGTTCAGCTGTTCTCTGTTTTCTTGCTTTTACAATTTCAACTTATGTTGTTTTGAAATTTTCACACACATAATTGTTTGCTAATATTAGGGACTATATTTGACATATTTATTTATTCTGCCCAAGTCCAGCCTTTTACTGATTTATAATCCCGGCATACTGCTAAATAATTGCTTTGTTGACCATAACATCTTTTTTTATGTGAACAAATTGGGAAGATTTTCCGACATATATAGTTTAAAGTTGAAAAAAGTTTTTTTTTTGATCGGGCTTGTTACACGAATCAATTTCTCTGATGTTCCGATGTTCCAACTTCGGAAAGCCCGGCAACCGCCAAAGTTTTTGCAGAGTTACCTTCGGTAAGGACTAAAGTACAGTCTTTAGCATTTCTACCACCAGAATTGTTTGCATCTTCCAATTTCGCGATCCCGGAAATCCCTATTAAAAAATATCGGAATCTAATTATTTATCAAATTTTCACAATTTACTCTTTTTTCCATCTGTATTCTTTAATTCCTTATTTAGTTTACATTAACTTCATCCAGAATGTGATCAACGATACCACATTTGAGAACTATTAAATAAATAGGAGAAAATCAAAGGGCCACACATTTATTTTTTTTTTTACAAGCATAAAACAAAGTAATATGTTATTCTATAAATAGTACAATTACTTATGTTTATTAAAGCTTGGATCACATGTAGATCCAAATGATGTGGCTTTTAATGTAAGATTTTCTTTCGTCTGGGAATCGAAGGATGGGATTTCAATCAAACAGTTGATGAGTATCCACATATGATTTTTGATTTGATTCTTTTCTTTTTAT